TTAAAATAACAAAATTATGTATTAATAGTACTATAATTTTATGGATTATTAAATTCAACAAGTAATTAATATTTTATAATTTAAATAATGATATTATTTCAATAAATAAATAATATTGTAAATAACTAATTTCATTTATACCAATTAATAATTCTAGAAAATAACTTTCAAAAAATTATTGTTTATTAATAATAATTTTAAAAACTTAATTTTCATATATTATATATTTATCTATACTAAAATTAATATTTATTGTATTTTAGTAATTATTTATTGTTTTTTGTGATAAATATATTTTCAATAATTATGTATAATCTAATTTTTTTTGTTATTTAATAGAAAATTTTCAATAATTATTGGAGTTTAAATTACTGTTATTTAGCTTTTAAAATTTAATTTATTGTGTGTTTTCACTATAAATTTTTAATAATTATTGGAGATTAAACTATTGTTCACAGGTTGGTTCAGTTCAGTTGTAGGTTGTTTGGCCAACCAAATTGACATAGTAAGGTTGGGGGGTTGGTCACTTAGGTTTTATCGGTTTGGTTGATCAGTTCAAATAGTTTAAACTTAAAAAATTAAATTTAAAAATCAAGTTTAAATTTTAAAAATTATAATGGAATTGTTAAAAAATAAATTTAAAAATTAAATTTATAATATAAACTATTTTAGCCTAAGAAATATTGAAATATTCCCACTTTCCTGTATTGAAAAAATATATTTAAAATATAAAATATTAATATATATCTATGGCCAGGTTGTTCGATTTTAATCAGTTTACAAATGGCTTAGTCGATCAACGATACCCATGAACTCATGACCCTACCCGATAATCTTGGATTTGGATGAGGTAAATGTCATATCAAATCAAATTTGAATGGCAAAGGTAGAATCCGATTAAAAATCGGATAGAACTTGGATTCACCCCCATGTGATCCGATAAAAATCCAAGTCCGATATATTTATAAATATAAATATATTTTATATTATATACTTTTATACATTAATGGAATAGATAAAATTTCTAAGGGGTAAATGAGGAATTATGTTCCTCAAACCCCTAGTCGGCCATCTCTAAAATCCTAAACCCTCACTCGACACTTCAATAGTCGACATTTTCTTCTCACTTCTCCTCTCTTGTCGTCACCTAACTCATCTTGCCATTTGCCAAGTTGTCGTTGTTCTCTCCTCTCTCAACTCTCACTCTCTACAACAACCAAGTCGTCGTCGCCATTCCTTTCTCACCTTGGCTTTCTTCTTGACCATAGAACTCTCATGTACTGTTTTCTTCTTGACCATTTATTCTGAATAAATTATAGATTATTTAAATTTTTTGAAATAAAAATTTAAAATTTACAGATTATAGAATTGTTTCAAAACTTATGAGTAAAAATTAATGATTATAAATTTTGTTTTAATGATATACCATTCAACAATTGTGACCATTCAACCGCTGAAATAGGTAGCTTTAATCGAAGTTGGATTAAAATCTGAAGTCCAAAAAATCCGATCGGATTCGAACTCAAATTCCCTGCACATAACCCAATCGGATTTTGGATCAAAATCGGATGCAACCAACAACATGTCGAATTGAACTCAGATTTAGATGAATCTGATCCGATGATAGGCCTACAAATGGCCAAAGCGAAATTGATCCGACCCAGTCAGGTTGGGAACTGTTGAACCAAAGCTGACTGGAAATACTAGAAATTTGGTTGGTCAATTTCATTAGTTTGATTCAGAATAGCAATGGGGCGGGTGGGGATGAAGAGCCTCTCCCCATCCCTGTCCCCACAAAAATCCCAATCCTATATATATATATATATATAGGATCAGAATGAAAATTTCCCTGTCGGGCAGGGAGTCCTCTCCCCGTCCCTGCATTGTCCTTGCTAACAAGGATGAAAATTTCCCCATCTTCATCCCCATGAGGGAAAATCATCCCCATCTCCACCCATTCGGGACAAGTTCCCATGAGAATAGGGGAATGGAAAAAATTGCCATCCCTAAATTTGATAAACAATCTTATCTAAAATTAATTATTGTTATTTTTGTATTATAAACAAATTATTAAAAATAATATATAAAATATAAATAATTATTAATTTTTATATAAAATAATTGTATAATCTTAAATGTTTTATATTGTTTATCGTTAACTTAACAAATCACGAATTCCCACTACTTTTTTTTTTTGTAAAACGTCCCCTTCTCAAAAATCAAATGCTTCGCTTTTTTTTTCTATTTCTTTTTTCTTTTGAACTAAAGCTGATTGGAAATACTAGAAATTTGGTTGGTCAATTTCATTAGTTTGATTCAGAATAGCAACGGGGTGGGCGGGGATGAAGAGCCTCTCCCCATCCCCGTCCCCATGAAAATCTAGGATCGGGATGGAAATTTCCCCGTGGGGCAGGGAGTCCTCTCCCCGTCCCTACACCGTCCTTGTTAACAGGGATGAAAATTTCTCCATCTTCATCCCCATGAGGGAAAACCATCCCCATCTCCACCCTATTCAGGACAAATTCCCATGAGAATAGGGGAAATGGAGAAAATTGCCATCCCTAAATTTGATAAACAGTCTTATATAAAATTAATTATTGTTATTTTTGTATTATAAAAAAATTATATATAAAATATAAATAATATAATTTTAAATGTTTTGTATTGTTTATCGTTAACAGATCACGAATCCCCGCTACTTTTTTTTTTCGCAAAAAGTCCCCTTGTCAAAAATCAAACGTTTCGCTTTCTTTTTTTCTATTTCTTTTTTCTTTTGATGGATTCCCCCGTGACTCGATCCCAAGCCTCCATTACGGACCTTACCAACCAATCATCTGGTTGGCATATTGCCAAATGCCTCGTTAATACTTAATAGAGGCTTCTCGACCGGCGACGTAAGGTATGAAAAAGACCAAAAGGATTTGCGGTCACTGATTGCTATTTAAGGGTGTGGAATACGAATGGGTTATTTGTCAATTTCCGTTTCTTCGCGTGCATCATCCGTTGGACTCACACCTGTGCATCGTTCTTCCTACATTCCGGTCGTCCAGTCGTTGGTTCTCGCCAAAAGGCTCAAAACCCCTATTTGCTGGCTAAGAACGAAAGCAGTTTCCTTATCAGCCAGAGATCCGATCAGATTCAGGTCTGCCATGGCAGGAACGGCGACGACCGAGAAAGGGAAAGGGGACTTGCAGGTGTTCGAAAGTGAGGAAGATTTGTCAGTTTCTCTAGCTAAATATACCGCTGATTTATCAGAAAAGTTCATCCGAGAAAGAGGGGCTTTTACTGTGGTTTTATCCGGAGGTTCCTTGATTCAATCTCTTAGGTGAATACGCATATACGTTTTCCGTCTGTTTGCTGCCTCTCGCTTGTTTAAGCCTGATTACTGCACTTTTTCTTTTCCTTTTCCTAATGTTGTAATTACATGAAATTGAAACATTAGGAAATTGCTGGAATCTCCTTATCTTGAGTCTGTCGATTGGACGAAGTGGCATGTTTCTTGGGTGGATGAGAGGGTCGTGCCCAAGAATCATGAAGACAGTAACTATAAGCTCGCCTATGACGGTTTTCTATCAAAGGTACATAAAAAAAGGAAAAAAGAGAATGCAAGAGTTTCTGCTTTGCACTGCATTAGAAATTACATTTTTTGTACTTCTATATCGCAGGTCCCCATTCCTCCTGGTAATATCTATGCTATCAATGATACACTCACTGCTGAGGGTGCTGCTGATGATTACGAGGCCTGTCTTAAGCAGTTAGTCAATAACAAGGTAGTTGATCTGTCAGCAGCTAGTGGCTTTCCTAAATTTGATCTCATGCTTTTGGGCATGGGTCCGGATGGTCATGTGGCGTCTCTATTCCCCGGGCATCCTCTCGTCAATGAGAATAAACGATGGGTAACCTTCATCAAGGACTCTCCAAAGCCACCTCCAGAGAGAATAACTTATACTTTTCCAGTAATCAACTCGTCTGCAAGCATCGCCCTTGTTGTATGTGGATCTGGTAAAGCTGATGCTGTGCATAGAGCGCTTGGGAATCAGGAAAATTCTGATTTGCTGCCTGTTCAAATTGTTTCACCTGAAGGGAAGCTAACCTGGTTCCTGGACAAGCCTGCAGCTTCTAAACTGTAGGAACATTCATGTTAATAGTAGTGCGGGTTTGGCAAGATATTCAATAAATTATCTCTCATATGCCATATCCATCTTGAACTGGATGGATTTGTTTAGAGATTATGTGGTAATAAGATGTTTTCTTTGTAACTTATGAATATTGCGGACTTAATTTAGCCATGAGTGCAGTGAAGAAGGTTTTGGTTTACTGGATTCATTATGTGCATAGGGTGTAGCTAAATGTTCCCAACTCCTATTTCCACTCCCTTTCTATTTAATTTGTCATCTATATGCAAAATTGTGGTAGGATACAAGTTCTCCCACTTTCTCTTGGTTCATTTTTAAATTGAACTTCCTTTGTAATTGTAAGTTTTCCAATCCAATGACCATTTTTGAGCTACTCCCTAAAGGGAGGGGAGAATGCTTGAAAGCCTTGAGGAGGTATTGGAAAAACAACAACATATACTCTGAAAGACAGAGGAGAGGGCTTTAGCTCATGAAAGATTGATTCTTGCCTTTTTCTGCACATACCGACTGGTGAAGCTCAAGTTGCATGAGGTGCATTTGTTGTAATATCAATAACCTCAGATAACCCAATTAAGAGTAATGGGATAGCAATTGTTTGAATGAAGATATAGCTTATTATCAGGTACTGAATTTGTTGATATTACCATCCAAGTAGTTAAATTTTGTTTACTGTTGATCAGGAGTTCTGTGTAGAATGAGCACCTCCATGCCACTATAGGATTTATCATAGGCATTTCATATAATTTACCTGACTCAATATGATTGGGACAAGGCTTAGTTGGATTGAGTTGATTTTCCATATAAATTTACTGGGAAGAGGTAAGAAAAGGAAAGGCCTTAGCAGATTCTCTCTGGTAAGTTTTCATTTGGGTTGATCTGATTGATAGTTAATGGTTTGTTGCTAATCTTGGAAGTTTAAGTGGATTGCTGTCCTCTTGCGCACTTTCATTTTTTTCTCCTTTTAAGTAATTCATTAATCCTTTTGGTTGTTATACCATTGTCCTCCTTTAAGTAACTTCATCTCTTTCATTTCAAAATCATCTTAATAAGAAAACTGAACATTGGTGTATTATGGCATCCCGTAAAATTTTCCATCAGATTTGGGGCCCAACCATAGTTTTCAAGGCGCCAAGGCGAGGCTAGGCGACGGGGGGGGCATCTTGTCGCCTAGGCGATGGATTTTTTTATGTTGAAAACATAGATCCTAGGGTAGTTCCATAGGTACCATAACCATATTTCCTTAATAATTATTCATAATTTTCATAAAAAAGTATAAAGTTCATATTAAAGTATAGAAAATCAACATATTCATGAAAAGAAATAGAAGAAGGAAAATAAATTTCAAAAAATATAGGGGATGAAAGAAGAAGAAGAAGATGATGATGATGATCTGGCTTTCTTCTCTCTGGGGATTGGGGCAGTTGCAAGATTAGTATAGCATTGGAGGAGGTTGATGATAGTTTTGATCTGTTTGATATAGGCTCTTTGTTATTTGATGGATCAGTAGAAATTCTAGAGGCCTTTCTTGAACAAGAATGGAAAGAGTGTAATGAACAAGTATGGCTATGGAATTATTGTAATGAATCTGATTTATTGTAATGAACAAGTATGGCTACGGAAGTAGATTTGGGAGTTTGGTTCTGGAAAGCAGAGACAAGTAATAATATGTCTTCTAGGACATTCCCTGCCCAAGAAAATCTTCGTGAGTGCCTCAATTATCAATGGAAAACTTTATTAAAATGAGTAGGAATACCCCTGAAAGATGAATTACTAGCTCTTCTTTAGGGTCTAAAGCTAATATTCTCATTGGATTGGTCTGGTTTGATTGTGGAAAATGACTGCCAAGTTGTGAGTCGTCTCTCCTTAACAGAAGATGGTCCTTGGACCCTTGGTCCTATCATTAAAGAAGCAATATCTCTATCAGCAAAGTTGAACTGTAATTTCAGTTCAGGTGGATTCCTAGGGTAGGAAGTTGTCTGGTGTTGAACTGTAATTTCAGTTTAGGTGTAACTTGCAAGGGAGGATTTATTTATTTGTTTTGGCCGGTGGGGGGGGGAGTACCTGGCCCTGAGTCAAACTTATGAGGGTGTGATGTTTTTGTATTTTGTAGTAGCAGCAGCATAGTAGTGCATAGTTAGATGTATGATAAGCAAATTTTCTAATTATAACCAAAACAGGAGGTCCTCTAGTTATTTGAAGAAGCTTATGTATTTAAAAAGTTAATGGGTGTTGAGCCTAAATTAAATAAAGGAAGCAAGTTTTACATGAAACATCAATTGTACAATGGGAAACTGCCAAGCTGGTGATAGCCTGTATCCCAAATCTTCCAAAGCAATTGACAATATAAGGTGAGTGTCAGTATCATTAATTCTTGAACAGTTACAGGGTATAGCTCATTGATGGCATCAATTTTCTTATCCATCTTCCATTAGGGATATATGAGCTTTGGATGTCCAGAATCTCTTTTCCCCTTGGTGTAGCTCATAGATTTGCCCTATATATATCAGACACATAGCTGCCCTTTCTTGCAGAAAGAAGTATCCAATACGTGGTTACCTCACACTCAAAAAAAAAAAAAAAAAAAAAAAAAGAAAGAAAGAAAGAAAGAGAAAAGTTTAGTTATCTCTAGTTCCTAAAAACGTACTCACTTCAAATGGTGTCTGACCCATTGCAAATGATGACCAACCTTTTAATTCAATTTCCTAATTTGAATAAAAGACTCACTGTTAAGATTTTCAATTCGTCAAATAAAAGACTCACTGTTCCAACTTCCTTGCTTCGCTTACCTCCACTCTTGACAAGACCCCTCTTTAGCTAGTGTTATGCATCTTCATTCTTCTTAATACAAGACATCTTTCATAAAAAAAGAAAAAAAAAAGATGAGATCCTCCTTTCTCTCCTTCCTCCCCATCCCCTTTTTTTCAAGGAGGTTTATGCATCTCTCTTTATGAACCACGCCTCACATCTTTGGGCAATGAAATGCCTTGTGTCACACCTCTATGTTTTAAAAGATTACTTCAAAGGCCACTTGTAGAATTAGGAATGAAAGATGTTTAACATCATATTAGTATTTGAAATAATGCGACTGGAAAGAAATCAAAAAAATTGAAAGTTCAACATGGTTGAATATGTTTTATATGTTTATTTTTATGTATTTAAATTTAAGCTAATGGAATTTTTAAAATATTTAGTTTAAAATTAAATTTTAATTTTTAATATTTTCTTATTTTATTTTGTTTTTTTTTTTTTTGTAAATTCTGTGCCTTGCTTCAAAAAGGAGCATGCAATGGCCTTTGTGCACTTTTTAAACATTGGTCTTGGTATCAACAAAATTTTAAGAATTTTAACCTATCAAAAAAATTAAGGATTTTAAATGTGTCTTTACTTGGGAAGTTGATTTGGAGGTTTGGTGTTGAAAAAGAAGAAGGTGGAGGAAGATAATAGCAACGGTTTAAACCGGAGATTGGACATCAAATGATCCCCTCCCCCCATTTTGTGGTACCTCTGTTTGGAAAGGTACTAACAAAATGGATAGGATCTGGCCAAGTTCTTGGCATGATAATTGGTGCACAGAGAGGCTCTTTGAGCAGATGTTCATGCAGCTCTTTAACTGGTTTGGACTTCCAGTTTTAGAAGACACCGCCATGACTGGGAGCTTGGGGAGGGGGGAGGGGGGTGGATATGCTTCAGGTCTTGAATGGGCAGGTCATTAGTGAGTGGCAGCAGGACAGTGGTGTTGGAAATGGGACAGCAGTTGGTTGTTCTCTGTCAGATCCTTTTCTAGGAAATCTAGACCTTCATGGCAAAGCAACTTCTCCTATAAGCCTATTTGGAAAACAACAGATAGCCTGATGAAAAGAGGCCTCCAGATCCATGACCAAGCCTGTGTGATGTGTGGTCAAGATCCTGAACAGATGGACCATCTGTTTATCCATCTCCCTGTGGCTCTTGGAATTTGGTTGCATTTCATCAGAGATGTAAAATTCTGTTGGGTTACTCATCGGACTGTTAGTGATCTACTTGCAGGTTGGCATATTTTGGGGACACGGAAAGACGATTTTGGTTTTGGCACCAGATGTTGTTATGTGGATTTTATGGAGTGAGAGGAATAACAGAGTTTTCAAGAACAAATAAAAGTCTGAGGAGGATCTCTCCTTTATTGCCAGTTTGTAGGCTTGGTTCCTGGGCTGCTACTACTTAGGAACTCTCCCATTAGTCTGTCTAATGGTTGAATTTTTTCTTTGTCCCCTAGGGGAGGTATCTGCTTGTGTCTGCCTTGTGTTGTTGTAATCTGTTGTAATTGTTTGTTTTTAGCTTAATAAAATTACTTTTTTTAAGTGACCTTTCTTGATATTTTAGTTCAATAATTATCAATGAGGGGGTATTGAAGAAGATTTCGCCCATAGGATTAGAGCAGGATGCATGAAAAAGAATTGCATGATTGGCATGAATCAATCAGGTCCAAAGGGAAGTTTATATGATAGATAACAAATTCTCATTCTATCACTACAAGAAATTTCCTATTTACCGGCGGTCGCGTGCAATGCTAGCAAATCCCAGCAACATCAATCAACAAATTTGCCCGCTCATGTTTTGAGTAGGGGCCGACGGTCAAATTTTAAGAGACCATATAACGTAACCACATGATGAGTCCCGAGACTCCTGGCGGTTTATTATTTTGAAAAAAAAAGAAAATAATAACCAATCGACCAATGAAATAGGGGTCCCGCCAAAACAGCTATGTTGAGCCAAAGGAGGGATTTGTTAAACGTAATGACGAATATCTCTCGCTGAAAATCATCCTTTCCTTGAATCTCGATGCCATATCTTTGTTCCTCCATTTAACTTATCAGTTGAGAAGTGTGAGAAGCCATGCATAGAGTTTGATTTCAAGAGAACTGTGGATGTGAGAGTGGAGATTTCAAGAGAACTGTGGATCGGTTGCGAATATCTGCTCAATTCAGAGAGAATGATTTGAAGCCGCGAACTTGTGAATAAAGATTTGAATTTGAAACTAGAGGGTTTGAGTTGAAGCCAGAAGATTTGTTCCTGGTACTCCATTCCTGCTTGTGCGAATGATATTCATCTTCTTTCCTTTCTGATTTTATATTTTTTTATTATCAGATTTCTTTATTTATCTTCACCTCTCTTTCCCCTCATATGCAGGGATTTCATCCATCGGCCCCTGGT